AAAAAAAAACAACATCGAGTCGGCATGGATAAGACAATCATACACAACGTAAGCCATCAATGTATTCCACGCGTTCGAGACTTATATGAGAGGCAGTCACTAATGAATGCACTTTCCCATCCCTTTGCAACAACTCGGTTTGATCGCTGCACCCCACGCCTCCACAACACTCATTCACACCACCTCACCTGCAACAATGCAATCTGTCCTTGTCCTCCGCCTTGACGACAGTGCACTGTCGCAGGGAGGGAGGAAGCCTCGACCACTGCTGTCACACGTGATGGCACGAGCATCCGATGCAAAGTGAGGAAAGTGGAGAGGAGTTGTGGTGGTGAGAGGAGGGGTGGTGAGCTGTGTGACATGGACAAGAAGGAGTGGAGGCGGAGGTCAATGACTCAGTCTGTTCAGACGCCTCCGTTGGCGAGATGAGCGGCCACGAGTCTCGAGGGGAAGATGTGGATGAGTGTTAGCATCGGCGGCAGCACAGGCAGTGGCGACGGCAACAGACACAGCAGTATCGTGATTGACATTGGGGAAGCGCATGTACTTCACGATTTGCGGATGAATCTGCTCCAAATGGGCTCTTTTCCTACCACCGATGGCACGAGGATGCACCATAGCAAGCGACCCATCTGATCGAGGAGGGAATGGGAGGACAGGATGCGTAGACGGAGGCGGCGGTGGGGTGACTGGAGGTGGAGCAGCGGAAGCAACGGAGGTGTAGGAAGGAAGTACCACTATTCGTATGGATTGATTGGCAAGGGTGGGTGCGATGATGCTCGCCATTGCATTGTTGATGCTTGGACACATGTGGAACTGAGAGTATGCATCGTACTCCTCATTCGTGTCACTAGGTGTTGCGGTTGGCTGTGCTTGAGGTTCGACACCTGCATATCGAAGTGCTTGTGATATGATGTCATTTTCATCATCTTCGGCCTGCGCCTGAGCGTTGTCGGCATCGTCAATTGCGGACTGTTCTCTAACTAAGAGCAGAGAGGGCGTCACTGAAATGTGCGAGGCCGGTTGCTCTTCTTCGTCTCCTTCAGGCACAGAAGTGTGACGCGTTGCTGCAACCATGTCCTCTCCGTACGTCCCACGTGCGTCCATTATGCAGCGAGCGAGTGAGGCAAGCGATAAGGGGAGCGGAATTAAATACCCTCGAGGCAGGCGTCCAGCAACGAACTGACTACATGTATAGGCGACGATCTCCGACACGCAAACAATAGTCCGATTCATCAAATGTGATTGGTCAATCTGAGGTGGGCGCCAGAGGCCTTTACCTCATGGTTGGGTCACGCGATCGAGCAGCTGAGGTGAGCATGCATGAGGCTTCAGTCACGTCGATTGTTTACAAGGTCAAACCTCCATGCCGCAAAATGATTGCGTGTTGGTGTTGACTATCAATAGCGCGCCATGATGATGCCTTGTAATCCTCACTGGTGCATTTGTGTCCCTCCGTCTGATGGCGCACGAATATGCATTCAAGCGATGCTGAGTGGGGCGAGACGAGGGAGGGTGAAATGGCGCCCTGCATTTCATTGATGCGCAGTCAGTTGCACAATGCACATCACCAGCGATGTGTTCATCTCTGCTTGTGTGAAAGGGTGAAGGGGGGAGGAGAGGGTGGAGAGAAGCAGCATTCACTGGCCCACCTCATCCTCCATCATGTTTCACCACAGCAGGGCTTAGTAATGTGGCCGTTGCTTTGGCGGCTGCCTCCTCATACCTGACCGCAAAAGTGGGAACACTGAAGCTTCAGTCCAGACGTCCTATTCGCCCGCATCCATGTTTTCCTTCCACAATCGGCCAGCCTATTCCCATACATCTATCCCACTGAGAGGGAGGAGGAAGGAGAGCTGTGGGGGGTGTGTGTGTGTGTTCACCCCGTCTTCATCACTTCGAAGAGGTTTCAAAGCTGTTCACTTCCTTGCTCATTGCCCGCCTCTCCATTGTCAGCCTCAGATTTGGGACAAGAATGCGTTTTCGGTAGAGGCAGACGGGGTGGACAAATACATGTCTATGGGCTGGTTGTGGTGCGATGTCGGCTAATGTGACCACCTGGTGGTGAGGAGGGCGTGACCGACAGTGTCTAGCATCACCTCTGTCGCCTCACTTTGTGTGTCCTCACATTTGACATGCGCGTCCTATGAGGAAGGGAGGGAGTGAGACATGAGCGGCAGTATAGCCGCCTATCTTCACACAATAGCTTGGAGGAATGTAGTGAAATTATTGAAGGTGGCTTGTCTTGAACGCGAAGAGACAGAAGTAGGCAAACGAGTGGATTGAACACGATGGAACAACGCACTCAACTCAAGGTGAGCTGTGGTGGGAAAAATTAGCGGTGAGTCAAAGGAGGATGAGGATGAGGAGGAGAGCGAAATGGAGATGGGGATGGAAGAGTAGGTGGAGAGAGAGAGAGAGAG